GGGCTACGGGTCTAATTGTTAAATAATAATGTCATAAATAATCAGACTTAAGAGTTTATGGATTTTCGTATCTTTTTTTAGGGAAAGGAGTTCAGTTAGATTTAAGAGGGGAAGGAGATGTATGGGTGCGATGTCTCAGCGAGCACAGCGTCTTTGTGCAAAGCTATTACTTAGATAGAGAGGCTGGACGTTGCCCCGGTGATGCTGTCCACAAAATCTACCCTTCTGCGTACATCAAAGTGTTTGATTTGCGCCAGTGCTATCGACAGATCAAACAACAAGCTCATGCTGCTCAGGCCGCCGCTGCAGCTCAAGCCGCGGCCATTTCCACCGGAGTGGGTCCTGGCGCCTTACTACCGCAGATCGGTATGAGCGTGGGCGTTGATGACCTTCGTAGGCTCTGTATTCTTCGGCTGAGCTTCGTCAAAGGTTGGGGTCCAGACTACCCTCGAAAAAGTATCAAGGAGACGCCGTGCTGGATTGAAATTCATCTCCATCGCGCTTTGCAGCTGTTGGATGAGATCCTAATCACTATGCCAATCAACGAGCCACGACCACACGACACATGATGGACAAATAAATGCACATTGTTGGCTTCGCTGAAAGAAATCAAAACGGGTGCTTTTATAGTGGTATTTTTTACAAATTATTTAATTATCTTTTTTTCGGGTTGAGCAGGCCTTTGCTAAGCGTTTTTTTTTTTTTTATTGTTTCTCGCGCAGAAGAGAAGTACATGGATGTTATCACCGTTGCCGTCAAGCGCTAACGAATGCTCGCTGTTTGCCGAAAAGCACTTTTTGTGCCAGAAAAGTTGCTCATTTGCTCGAAAGACAATCGAAAGCTCGTTTGATAACTGCTGGCTAGTGGCATCGAGTTACTCGTGGTCGGTTGTTGGTTCATCGGCTATATATTTTCCAAAGAATATATATAAAAAAGCTTTACTGCGCTAAAGCTTCTTCAGGTTTTGGTCAATTGGCCAAAATTGATACATATTGAAATTCTAATATGGCACCGATGATTAGGGGAATAAAACAATGAAACATTCTTCTCAATGTTATTTCTTTTGTTTTAATCCCGGAAACCATGGCACCGTGTTAGAATTTTAATGAATCAAACTGGCCTATCTTCGAGTGCAACTTTTCGACGTCTCAGTCGGTTGGTTTTCTAACCTTGACAGCCAATCAGATGGCGAACAACTGCATGTGAGTGCTTGATTTATCGCCATTTTTCTCTTCCTCGCTATCACGTGACCAGGTAATTGAAAGCCAGCATACAGGGACATGTCGAAGTACCAAAAGTTGACATATTTCAACCGCTCTTTATCGAGGCAAAGAGTGTCCTTAAGGCGATCGCCATATAAAATCAGTAGGAGTAGTATGTAAACAGTGTATGTATTTCAGTGGACCTGCCTAATCAAACTAATACATTTTCAGAAGTCTTCTCAGCGAAGTTTAAAAGCGGATCTTCTAGAAAATCTTCGTTGTATCTGAGAGCAAAATATTGTTTTTTATCGATTGATTTTTTATTTAAATTGCAGTTCGAGGATCTTTTGAACTGTGTAAGCCGTAACTGGCTTGATGAAAGCTCGGGTTGCTTTAGTGGAACACGAAGGTGGATTATCCCAACAGATAAGGGATGGTTCATCGTTGTTTTTTTCCTTTAACAGGTAGAATAATTTGCAAACTAATACAAGGCAGGTACGTAACAATGTATGAATGTATTTGTATCGGTATAAATCAGGGAAATAAGCGTGTCACGCAGAAATAGAGAGCTTATTTGACGTTTTAGTGGTTAGCAGATTTTAATTCCCCACCCGTTTCAGTTGCCCAATATTAAGATAAATGCGAATGCGGATTGTTAATATGACAGCTTTGTTTTAGTAAGTCAATTTGAACCAATAGTACGGTTGATGCAGACTGCGAACAACCCTCTTTACTTTCCTAGTACGTTAAGCATGACGCAAATGAAAGCCGAGAATAAACGTGGCTTAACATAGGCGGCCATTCCCCCCCCCCCNTCCCCTCCCGAATTTTTTTATTTTTATTTTGGCGTCACGCTTGCTCAGACAACACGGGCTGTTCGTAGTTTATGTGGAGTCTTCTTTTTAACTTTTTAACTTTTTAACTTTTTAGCTTCGGATTTCATCTATAATTAGATGACGTTGCTTTGTAGATATATAATAGAGTTGTATTTTCGTAAATAAGCTTTTTAGACTTGCTTTAACTCACAATTGTAAATTTACATAAAGTTATGTAGCGATTTTCCACTAAAATGTCTTCTTGTTAAGGTATATATAAAATGTATTTTATGATTTATTTGAGACTATATGGGTATAAACAAGTTATACGGGTTAATGATGACGTTGATATCGTAGTGTGTTGTTAATGTGTAATTGAGTTAGTGAAGGAAGACGTTTGTTAACTTAGAATAGATTTTAGTCTTCCTTGTAACAAGGGTTCCCGTGTCGAAGACGTTGCCTATGTGTTGCCTGGAAATGAGTCACGGACTTGGGTTCTTAATCTCTTTGATTTGAAATAAACTGGTAAATCTTGTATACCTCTTGAAGCACGTGGGAGTGGTACCTTTAAAACTTGGTGTAAGATGTAAAGTAATTTAATAAATACTATAAAAAAGACATATTTAACAATTATTCCACAAGCGCGAGCTGCATATGAGATGATTGATAGCCAACGAAGCGCGTAGCGCCGAGTTGGTATAATTATCTCGTATCCAACAAGCGCGAGTGGAATAATTGTTTTATTAAAAAAACATCAAAGTATAGCAAACTCCACAAATAAATAAATAAACTAAACAAATAAAAACGCCAAAAAAATTTACATACGCGTACGCTTATCTTATTCGTAGAGCATGGCATAATGGCTCATATACCATGATGTGTAAGCCAGTGAAAATCTTGAATTGCATTCTCCAACGATGAATGAAAGAATGATTAACAATTATTCACCGAAGTGGAGGTAAATATCCATCACTTCCACCGACACTGATATGAATAATTGTTTTAGTATATACCACACAAGCTGAATAATTAGTGGACCAAAACGTTATTTTATGCGTGACAAGCGGTCGGAAATTTTAAAATCTCTCGCGCCGGCTGCTCGGAGGTGAATAGTACTTGCTAATCACCTCCGAGTTAACCAATCAGAGCGCGCGAAAAGCACTATTCACTTGTGTGGTATAAACTAAATAACATCGTGTCAAAAAAATTGTAGCTTGCTGTTTACGGTAAGCTAATTGTGGAAACCTATATCTACTAATAGTAATTATAAAATAATACCAATCATTAAAAACATACGGGACATGGTTAATTACAGCATAAAAAAAAGACGAAGCGAATAAAAAAAAATAGATTAAAATTGCAATTATAAAAGACAATTTCTACAATTTTGGTTAATTAATTTCGTCAGGTTCATTGTTGTTAGCCGACTTAAATTTGTTAAGGTTTTCTGACTTTGTAAGGTCGATCTTAACTCAGCTTTGCCCACAGTTTAGGCCCTAGATAGCTAGATTTTAATAATATACATTAACTAGCGTCGAGCTAATACAGATCTAAAATTACAGCATTAATATCAAATGAGTCCATAAGCAGGAGCGCCTGTAAGCCTCTGGCATTCAAATTACAACTAAAACTACTGGAAAAATCTTTCGCATCTACCAGATAGATCAGGTAAGTGAGGGCTTTCATGGGTTCGTTGAAGAACGAAACTGTGAACAGTATCAATCATTATCAGAGGAACTTCCCTCTAGATTTAGGCAGTGAATATGTACAGGCTCCGGCTGGAAGGGTCTGTCCGCGGCTGGAACTGGCTCAGAGTGAAGTAGCCAAGGGGGGTTGGGGCGGAGGAGCCTGTGGACGAAGGTTTTATGCTGCCGTCCCAAGGCACTCGCTTTGCGAACACTAGATTCTAGTGCAGCCTCTAATCCTTGTAGGAAAAAAAGATGGCGACTGGTACATTTACCCATAACTCTTGGCACACGAAAATCTTAACAACGCTCATCATACAAACGTACAGAAAAGTTCTAAAACCTTCAATCTTGGACAAAATAAATGGAA